GGTACATTTTACTCACATCCCTGACCTGAGAAATATTTTGAATGCAGGGCTTTTATTTGTCTTACACTTGGGTATTCCTAAGAGGGGGTGGATGGTTGAATATCGGCCCAAAGCTAATTTTTTATTTTGGGGCCTTCTAGCTGGTTAATCTAGCCCTTGTCCCTCTCCCAGCACTGCCGTTGTAAGAAAATAAGCCCATCAAACAGTAACTGTGAGATCGGGAATGGTATAACAACCGTGTTAAAATACATACCTACCAATAGTTAAAAATTAATAGCCATTTCGTTTTCATCAAATTCTTTTCACAGCTGATTTCCCCTTTTATACACAGTTTATGTTGGTATTCCTATCCATTTGCATTACCTTCATGAAATATTACATAATGAGGCCCATTTAAATCACCCCATTTGGACAGAATTACCATTATCTAAGGCCAAGTCTGGTGTTTGATGAGCATTAAGTAGGTAAGCAATATTTTATTCAAGCATTGCAGCACTGTAGGGCCTCAGTTATACAGAGAAGAAATAGTGCTGATTTCACACTCCACTCCCCTAACACACAGACTCAGACACTGACTGTGGAACAGCGTATTTGTAAAAATGTGACACAAATCCAAATAATTCATAAATGACCTTGTCTAGCGCCGGTGCCTCAATCCTCTGATGAGTACATGTCACAGCAAAGGATTGTCTAATAAGTGATGCATTGGAAAGCCTGGCCAGAGGATCCCTAAAGCAATTCTTTTGTAATTGATGTTGCAGCATAAAATGGCTCTCAGTGGGCATGGCTGATTAGGTTGGTTTTTTGTTGCTGTCTAGCCGCTCGGCTCTCACAAACAGTCACTCACCAGGTGGAATGACAGTTTCACATCCAATTATCCCATTAAGCCCGATTTCATTCTTGTGTGTCCTGTCGTGTGTCTCTCATCTCATCTCTAAATGCATGTTTGCAGACCAGAAGGGTCTGCATATTAATATTAAAGTCTGATTATTGACTATCACTTGCAATAATGGACAGCGGTAAAAACAAACACACAAGGTGCTGCAGTTTATCAGAATATTGAATATAATCTATAATTTATGGGGATGAATATGCTAGAAAAAAACACATATCTTTTTCCTTCTTCTGATGTTTCATCCTCCTTGTTTTATTTTCTGTATTCACAGCCATGTGGACTCTGGGGACTCAATGCAAATGTCCTGGTGCTCCACTTACTCCTCGATCCAACAGAGTTCATCAAGTCTAATCAAATGTGTGCTCCGTTGATTCCCCCTCCTCGTAACAGACACAGAGAAAGGAACATAAATATATCTGTTTGTGTATGCGACCTCATAATTTTTCAAAGCACTTCAGTGCATTCTGAGGCAATGCATGAGCATGCCTAAAATGTATGTACTGTGCAATATTACACATAATGATGATATTACATATATATAATACATGATAACATGCAGCTGCCTAGCAGTACTAAACCCAGCAGGCCAAGCATGCAGCAATGTATATAACATATTCTCTAGTAATCTGACAATTATGGTAATGCTATAAAATGAGCTCACCATGTGCTTTTGATGCATTGTAAGTGTTTCTAGCATTGTACAGCTGTGTTCTGTTGGGGTGTCTGAACAGTGTTATTACAATGGTGTCATGTGTGACATTTGAAAGAATATTTTTCATCATGAAAGTAGAAAGTAGAAGCAGTGTCCGAGTCAGTCTCTCATTCTCTATGCCAATGATGTCATGCTTTTTCCTCCACTCTGTGTGGTTTGACTTAGACTTTTTCTAAGACACATCTTTAGTTTACTTTAGAAACAGAAATGCTTGAATTTTCATAAGTAGCCTACTTAAATCCTACTTAGGTGGATTATTAGAGATTGGGGCATTTGATTTTTGGGGTAGGAAACAATAAATTGGTACTTTTGAATGTTCTCAACTGTAGGGCTACTACATAGTTGCCTACAACCTTACGTAAATATCACTGTAATGAAAATTGTAAAAATACTCAAGTAACATTTCTGCAATGTTATAATTGAATGGGCTATGTTTAGGTGATACTTTTTTGCAATAATGTCAGTATTTAATAGGATTTATTAAACACAGCAATGCATCTGTTCAGATAATCTTAAAACAAACAAAACATGCCGAGTCCAAATCAATTAATCAACAGGCTAAATTCACAGTGATTGTTTTCTAGTTGTTTACCCCTACTTTTTTTGGGTTCCTACCTATGATGCAGCATTCCAAGAGTCGGAACTAACACCTGCAAGTGAAGCACCAAATATGTATGGCATAAGAGTAGATCTAGCAAAGTAAAATATTAAAAATATAACTATATAAATATTAGAAGAGTGAAGACAAGAACATGGATGAGGCAAGCAAGGTTTAGCCCCTCTTAAGTAGTAAGCAGCTGACGAGGTATGTTCATTCATTTCTATGCAGTAAAATAAAGTGTAAACATTAAACATGTAGTAATGTTAAGGTTATATTTTTTTCTGTGAGATATTCAAGGTGTACAATTTACATGCTATTAAAGTGTATGTAGAGTGTAAGTAAAGCTATGCTTTAATAAGTTAATGCACAATTCATGGTTTAGCTGCAAGTAATGTTTTTATGTTCATGCTAGGTACCTAGGTGCTAAATGTGACCTGTCGTACAGTTGAAACGCCATCAGTTATTAAGTATAAGACATACACGTATTGCATTTATTTTTAATTTTTTTCTCCTTTAATCCAGTTCTCACGGGTTGGTCTATCAGAGAATCAATCCCTATCTTTAACCATGACCTCATGCCTTGTGTTTTCTACTGGGGGGAGCTACAGTCACTAATAAGTTACCTCTACTGTATCGACCATGTTTGCAACATGAAGGTGCAGTTTAATCCATAATGTTGAAATGAGGATGCTTTTTTGTGATCAACATTTTCCATAGAGAAATTATATGAACAGCATAATTGCCATATCTCATAATCAATCTCATAATTAATACTGAAAAACATAACATTCAATTTAACACAAGTTCACTAAAACTGTTTTCTTTCATTACTTCTCTCTCTCTCTCTCTCTCTCTCTCTCTCTCTCTCTCTCTCTCTCTCTCTCTTTCTCTCTCTCTCTCATTCTCTGCACATCCACAGTCGATGCAGCCTTACTTCCTAATGAATGGCATTCATCTGGCACCCTGAGTAATGTCATTTTACAATGCATCATAGCAGCTAATAAACTCAGGATTGATTTGTGCTTATACAAAAACACATCAGGCGGAAACCATCACATCGGTAATAAATTGATACTGATCTGGTCGTGGGGACAGAGCAGCCAAATGCCAGAAGAATTTTATTTATTTATATTTTTTTCTCATTGGAGGCTCCTCGGCGGGGCAATCGATCTCGGTGCAGAGCCTTTTGTTCTCTGAAGTAATAAAGGAGCATATTGATTTATTGGCGGGCGACAGTTACCTTTTGCCTCCTCCTCTTGTTCCGTTCCATTCCACTGTCGAGTCCCCGGGGAGGAAAAGTTTGGTCTGTATGGAAGCTGAAGCCCTCACTTTGCTACAGCACCCATACTGACACTGAGATATAAAATCCCGGCAAAAATACAATGCAAGCGGTATAGATCTGGACAAGCAGATTTTTTTCTGGAATGGGTGTTAGTCAGAACAGGGGGCTTCATTGTACAAATATGTTTCTGACAAATGACAAAATAGGCCCAGTACTAATCTCCACTCAGTGATCATCACTAAATGATCTTCTCGAGTTTTCATAATAAGTGTGAGCATCCATAATTGTGTAAATGTGAGCAGGAATTAATTCAGGAAACAAAGTGGCAGATGTGAGAGCAGAAGTACCTGACTCAGCTAGATATCACCTTCACCCATGCCAATAGTACAGAGTGCAACTTCCCAATCCTTTTTTTTTTCATTATCAAGGAAGAGCTTAACCTAAATACATTTTCAACAGCTACTGCTTCCAGCTCTAAGGTGACATTTTAAATAAACCTTAAATTTTACATGTCCGTATCACCAAATTAGTCCATTTTCACTTATGAAATTGCATTGGAAATATGTGTGAATTATTTTTAAGTTTTGACAAAATAATTCACACCCTTATCTCTACTCGGATGGAGTACTTTCCTCAGGTCTTGATAAGATGCCTTTAACGGCAATGCTGAAAGGAACTGTTTTGAATTGATCCAGTTCAATAATTGATTTAAAAGTGGGGTAAGCTATACTAGGTTTGTTAATTATTTTAAAATGTTATTTGACTATTAATCATATTTGAATAAAATAGTGGGTGTTACAATACAATACAATTGTTAATCTTTTGGTTAAGATTTCATTCATCCAACCAAATGTGGCAACAGTTGGACCAGTCATGTATTCATTCCTGTTTGTGATCTATTTTGACTATTTTGATCTATTTTTACTTTGAGTGTATTTATTACTTATAGGCAATTATTATTTATTATTTATCAAGTACCCCTGTTTGGGAATCACTTCCCTAGCTTTCTGTTTTGTGTGCACATCTGGAAACACAGCCCTGGCTCTGTATATGGGAAACAAACAAAGAGGATTAGACCGAGCCACACAACACTAACTTGTTATTCCTGGATTTGTGTGTCAGGTACCGTGAGTGACTTGACTAGCAACACTTTGCAAACCCTAACATTAGTTACATTACTTGCTGTGTCATTGTATCTGTCATTGTATTGGATTTCCCCAGAATTGCTTACTCTACCTTTAATTGAATTATATACAAGCTTTTCTTTTCTTGTTTTTCCTTAGCTTTTCTTTGTCAGTTGCATGAAATGTTCTAAAGTGTTCTATTCATGAACTTGCCTTGCTTGTCTGGTTTCAAGGTTTGAATGGAAATTGTTCATTTTCCTGCAAGTTGATATAATCCGCCCAAGGTCATCATCAGTGTAAATATTCTGCCTTTGAGTGAAATTTGTCTTCAGGTTCAGTCAAAGTAAAATTAACAAAAGACAAAAAACAAAGTAAGAGGAATCACCTTCAGTAAATCACAAACAGATAATTTAATCAAACAGATTTACAGAGAATCAAAAGGGGCTTTTCTTGCCTCTGATACCTTTGATTGACAGACTACTAAAGGTCAGAGTGTATCTAATCAAAGCTCCCCTCTTGCCACCCACTCAAACTGTCATAAGGGAGGCTGCATGTATGTACTAGTAGAATGAAAAATTGAGCTATTATCAAGCTCACAGTAATGTATTATGGCTAGGTGCCTCTGCAGGACGGGTTTTTAGAACCGAGTCTGGTAATTGCACAATGAGCAGAGTGCTGTTAAACATCATAATTATGCTATGCTACCTTGGGATCTTTTTATTTTGCTGGAGGAGGAACATGTACTGCAGGGATGGCAGAATTATTTTTCAGTCCTCCATTTCCATTTTTCTTTGAAAACCACCATCCCTTTCCCTAATTACTCAGAATGTGTGGATGTTTAATTCTTTTTTTTTGTGAAGATGGGTAAAATGTATTAACGTTTTACTCCTGCAGTTTCCTGTTGCAATCTCTTTCCCTCTTGTGCACAGAGTTCTGAAAAAGGTTTGACAACAAGGGTAAGCTAACTACCTGTGGGAGACCGTTTATGGACATTTAGTGACCTCAAAGTTAAAACAAAGTCACCACAGACTCACAAACACAACCACAGGTGCTCTCTCTCATTCTTTAGGCCTGTTCTTGTCATGCTGCAGTAAATCATTTACTCTTCATAATTGACACAGCCAAATCCAGGAAAAGACGTGCTGACATTTGGTAATGCATGCCACCACTCACACATCTCATCAAACACTACTCATCCATGTACAGCCCTCGTCCAACGTAGCTTTTGACATGAGTTGGAGTTGATAGGAGGAGCAGACAAATTGAGGTGATGACTGTTAACCTTCACAGGCTTGACTTCCCTTTGGTCTGCAGTGTCACTAAGGCACGTACCAAAGGACTGATTAGAGGTGGCATCTTATACCTAATAATAATGCAGAGAAAGTATTTTACCTACTGTACAGAAACACAACAGAGTTTGAGCAGTGACTGAACTAAAAGTTTGTAAAAAAAAAAAGTTTGTATCGCTTTAACATAAAAAAAATCATAATTAAACTTGAAACATTATGATGCCCAAAAAAGGACCTACATATTTTAGCCTGGCCGTTTGAAGTTTATGTTTAAACCTTAACCCTTTTGTCTCATCAGGAAACACTTGTCAGATCAAGAAGAATAGAGGTATACCAGAGTGGGTGATGCCGCCTCTGTGCACTGGACAATCGTGGGTTTCAAGCTAAAGATGATGTCAAACTGTCTTAATGCACCTCTGCCATTGGTTATCCCTAAAGTATTAGTGCATGGCAAGTAAAGAGTACTTAAGTTTAATCTCCCACTTAAAGTCACAGAGGCATTGTGAACATGGCAAATAAACTGATATTCCAGTAGATCTGGTAGTTATGGTAATTTGTTCAGCGTGTTGTCAAGTTCAGTAAAACAACTGGATAAAGGTTAAGGAAAGATTGTGGTCACGCTTACATTATAGAAGAAAAAAAAAACACACTACAAAGTAAAGCTCTTATTTGCTTCTTCTCCTTCACAGCGTACTTCGTCACACTGATTCGACCACACACAAACTGTCTCGCAGGCACATTTTAACAACAGTTTGTCGAGCTGCTATGCACTTGTCTTGGACAGAAAGGGCTGTGTGCTGCCTGAGCTTAATTGGTGTTTGGTCCCGTCACCTTGTCTAAACCGGCCATGCAGCGGAAGCAGCAAGTCAGCCCCACAATATCAGCAGCTGCTGTCCTCTGTCAGTGTCTACACTGGATCTGTTAAGCCTCAGTACTGCTGTGAACTCAAGAAATGTTTGACAGACCTCACAGCTCAATACACAAGCATATGTGTTTACGTAAGTCAAAAAAAGAGTGTTGAAAGTGTTGGAAACAGGCTACAGGTTACATAGAGTGAATGAGGCACATGCCACTACACAGCTGGTATACAGTAGTCAGCTCCATTGGTTAAAATGTATCTTTTGAGTTGAGCTGATGTCACTTGCCAAATACATCGCAGAGATATTGCAAGATAGAGACTAAAAGTGGCAGCCAGAACTATTTCATATACACAAAATACACTTTAACACTGACATTCTCAAACCTGTCACAGGCCTAGTAAGTTTTAATATGGCCTGGAACCGGCACTCAACAACTGTGGGACCTGGACTCAAGTCATGAACTGTAGCTGTACTCTACCCTTTACTTACTGCAATGCTGCATTTTGTTGTGTGCATTACTGTATTAGATTTGGCAAAGAATGAACTTAATGGTTTCATAGCATAACAAAGATATGGGGAACAAATATGTTCCCTCACAATACAACCAGTTTGCTCATAAGGATTTTAAATGTCAGTAGATACAACAATACTAAAAAGGAGGCTATTGTTTCTATGCACCATGGTCAAATTTGAGTAAGTAACGCTTCCAAAATGAGATTTATGTTTGAAAGAATGAGACATATTGTTTGCCCTGCTACTGTGAATGTAGTAAAAGAGTGCTTTTGTAATCAGATGTCTAGGGATGTTTGTGGTTGGAACAAAATTTGTGAATTTCTGTTAAGTGAAGTGAGCAAAAGATGTTGAAACACGTGGAAGTAATTGCAGAAAATAATTAATCTAAATATAATTACATTGGTGTGGGTGGATCACTTAGATACAAATCATTTACTCTGACTCTCATTTGTAAAACTTGGTGTATTCTAAAATAAGAAGAAAGCTAGTTAAAAGTATCATGAAAAATATTCCAACAGCTGGAATCTGTTATAACATGATGTTTTAATATCAATTTATCTACAAAATCTTGACTGACACCACTGTATTCTGGTCTTCATGGAAAGTGCACTGTCACTGAAGCAAAAGGAACATATAAAAATTACAAACAAACAGACTGTACCATTTACCGTAAAATGTCCATTCATTTGGCATTGGTACTTACAGTATAAATGAGCAGAGTCATATTGAAACAGGATGGTTCAACTTTTATATAGCGATATCTGAATTTCTACTGTAGAATTTTTAATTTCTTCTTGTGAAACAGTTGTGCATTTTCTCGCTGATCCACCTCATTCTTTATGACATAGCACTGAAGGTAGTTGCCACAAAACAGAAACCAAAAAAACCAGACAAGTACATTCTTTCTGATTTCTCTCCTGATTTACCATACAGTTTGGTAATCCATAGAGACTGTAACCATTTGCCCCACAATGAGCACAATTCTTATGGCCAGGAGTTCTCCTTGAGGCCATGTGCAGTCCAGATCTCCCATCAAGCAGCTGTTAACTGCACAGCTTGGTGGTCTCGTAATCCATTGAATTGGGCAGACGTGAACTGAAGGCCTGTAAGGAGGCATGAATTCGAACCACCTCGCTGGCAGTCAGTTTGAGCCGGTGCCGCAGAAGACAAGCAAACAGGTCTAACCTCTGTTGACCCGGAGGTGACAACCGGTTCACCCGGTCTCGTATTTCCAAGAGCTGAAGCATGGCTGTGTCTTGGGAACCTTGGGTGTATGGGTAATCCAGCTGCAGAATCAAGTCACGGATTGCCTCTGGGTCAAAGTGCATACTGTAGCCAAAGACCTGGATGCTGTTGATCTTCATATAGCCCAGGTTCCGAGCAGGATCTGTCACCTCTAAAGGCTCATAATAAATGCTGTCATTCACTCCATCTTGAGTCTTTATCCTGCTTCGAAGGTAGATATGAATGGTTTCAAAAAACGTCTTCCACTTGTTGCCCAGTGTCAGAGTCCAGTTATAGCACTCAAAGGGTAGGTCCAGTTTGGTGGCCTGCCAGTCTGGAAAATTGTTCTCACTGACAGGGATGTACCAGCTCTCCGAGTGGCTCCCTCCAAATGGGTTGATGTAGAGAGTGAGGACAGGCTCCAGGGTACTGTTCTTTGTAAGGCAGATCTGGAGGGATATTCCCAGCAGCATGTGGACCATATTAGACTTGTACTTGTTGCTCTTCAGGGTCAGCAGCATCCTCTTTCTCCATGATGGGTCAAACCAGCTGTTGAGTCGCATGTCATTGCTGATGAAGATTGCGTGGACCTATTTGAAAGACAGACATAAAAACAGTATGGACGTACCACACTCATGAACACAGTAAGCACATACATGTAATGAAACATTTGTATTTGTATCAGCAACACAAGAGCAAGAACACAATTTATTGCTCAAGTTTTAATCACTGGCCGTGGAATACTCATACATTTTGTGTATGAGAAAAAAACAGTTGTTAAAAAATAATATTTTCTGTGCAGCACAAACATGCTTATAATCCTTAAGTGCATTTAATTTGCTCATTGTGGGCCCAATGAGCAAATTAAATGCAAATTAATGAAATTATTATGATGCAACCTGTTGTTTTAATACATCCAAGTGTCAAAATGGCAGCACCGTTAGGTTTTTGGATCCAATGTTCAGAAAAAAAACAGTAAGCCATGGAGGAATGGGAAGACTATTTGTACCCATAACAATAGGTATTAGGTTGCTCCATACATTTGAACATATCACTCCAACTAGTATTATGTAGCTTGACCACAACATACAGTCCAAGGCACTTGTTTTTAAAGCTTTCAGCCACAACCCATGGCCTTCTGTATGTAGTTTTTTAGAGCAACTCACTAAGGAAGGCCACAAGATGCATCAGGCAGCTGTTTATAAGGTCATGAAAGTCCAATCAAGCTCATCTGTTTTTATTTAACACAGCACTGCTGGGCCAGGTTTTGTCAAACAATGCCTGCTTGCCTTTCGTAAGTACTTACCCGCGTAATATTCAGGATAATGTAAGAAAGTAAACCTATTGACCATGACCATGATTGGCTCACCATATATCATCATCTACAGATAAAATCACTGCAAACCTGAATTGATCTTGCATAACATTCTACATTGTGTCCATTCTAATCTATGTACCACAAATCCAAAACGTGGTACAACAAATACAAGGGAAAACATGGGTAAACTGTGAAGTTCCTCAGTAGCCAGAAGAGCAATACTTTGTAATGCTGAGTGGCTCCCATGAGTGAGTATATCCTCCCCAGGCTACTGCTGTGAAAGACAGCTCAGCTCACGGTCAGCCTGACATGATTAAACAAAGGCTAAAAGAAAAAAATACCTCCAGCCTGCGGTCAGCTCTCTGCAGTAGGTAGCCCAGCTCCAAATCCTGGAGGTCTGTCTCGAATCCCAGGTAGTTCTCCGTAGAGTCTGCCACCATGGGCCTGCAGGCCCCCTGCGTCAGGGCGAAGCCCGGGTTGCAGCTCCCACAGCGGGTATGGTTGTCTGGTGCACATGCTGCGCAAGCCGAGCCTTCCCCAACAGAGCAAGGCGGTGGCAGCTGACAGGGGCTGTGTTCGTATCGACAGCTGCAGCTGTGGAGCTCCTCAGAGAATGCGCCAAGCTGGTTGTTCTCTGAGCAATACAGGAGAGACTGGAAATGACTCAGCCAGTAGGACTGAGGCCTGTGCCAGGGAAAGAAGAAAAACAGAAGGAGAAGAGAGAGAGGCAGAGAGGGAGTGGTTATTGAACAGGGCTTATAGGATGAGCTGGTTTAATAGGTAGCTGCTTTATTAGGTCCAGGACACCTGTCTGGGTGTGCAGACAGCTTGCTCGTTAAAAATATAAAGCATAATCAGCATAATGTAAAGCATGCAGACAAGCCTGACAGGATTCATTAAGCGTGGTTTAGGTAATATGCAGGTCAAACAACTTCTATGAAAGTTGTTTTATTTAGATGTGTAAGTTAAATAACCATTATTTCAACAGTGTTTCAATCACTACATTTCAATGCATACTTTGGATTAAAACACAGTTTATGCAAAACACTATTGAACGAAATGTATTTGGTCACGTGATAACAGCTGAACCATCTCCATGACAACTGAGCAAACTCCATCCACTGAAGGCCACATAAAATTACGACATTCAAGCTCAAATTTGGCTTAAATTTGACCTAGAAATCTAAAATATATTTTGGACCAAATCAGCAATCCAATGCTGATTGTGACCTGTGTAAGAAACATTGCTGTTGCCACACAGTTTCACCATCACAAAAAGATTTATAGACATTACAAGGTTTAGAGTTTTATTCTAATGTCACAGCTGCAAACTCTTGCTTACTAAGTGAATCCACTGTCTACCTTTTTTTCTGTTGGATATTTCTAGCAGGATAATGATGTCAAGATTGTATGAAAGTGTTTGCAGAAATACTTTCATGTTATTGAGTCAGACTGGCCTGAGATTCCTGCGGAATATACCAGTTTTCATGTTTTTGTTGTCCTGAAGTGCCCGATGAGTGTAGGTTACACATGCAAGGAATATGAGCGCAAACATCTGTGTTTGAAAAGGAAGAGAAAGCGAGAGACAGAGAGAGAGAAAGAAAGTTGTTTTTGATCAGTTTGTGACATAAATATTAGAAGTGTGCTGCCGCCGTAGGGTAACTGATTCTCAGACATACATATAATTCCCCCATGTGGGCCAGAGTTTGATTCCCGTCTGTAGCACTTTCTTGACTGTGATCCCTTTATGCCTCTTATCCTCTTTGCTCACTGAAGAGAAGAAATGCACAGTACATACCGCTGGCTTTCCTTTCAGAAAAAAAAAACAAACCTTTTTCTTTGATGAGGGTGTATTGTGGTAAACTTTATGCTGATCTGAAAATGTTTGCTGGATTACATTTAGGGCATCCTTCCTCTGTATCCCAATCTTATTGTGTGCTTGTCAGTGGGATGCAAGTCTGAGTTCAGAAAATCAGTGATTTGAATATCAAAACCCCCTAATGGAAAAAGCAGTGATGGGAAATGAACCGAAGGGGCTCTTCCTTTCCATCACCCGCTACCTGTGGGCAAGGTATTTCACCTCCGACAGCTTCAGCAGAGCAAAGCAGTCGCCAAGACAAGACTGCAGTTGTACTGTTAGTTCCCTGGTGTGATTGGGTACAGCCTTCCTGCTCCCTGCAACTCCTACTCCAAACCACTGCTGTAAATCACAGTGTCTTCTAATTTCTCTGCCACTTTTAAAGGAGCAGGCAACACTGCGTTATAAAAATTTGTATTTTTGCAAAAAACATGTAAAAACAACTCTCAGCCAGTGATAAATATGACACTCAAGCTTTGTTTCCATAGATGATATTTTTGATAAAGAATGTAGGGAAAACTGTAATTAAAGAAGATAAAGGGGCTGTAAGTACGTTAAAATAAATATTTGACTGAAGTAATGTCCAATACATTGCCAAAAGTAGTGGACCTCCATTACAACCATTATAAAACAAGTGATCAGTGAACATTTCTCATTTCTCTGCTGCAAGAACAGCCTGTACTCTTCTGGCTTTAGGCTTTTTACAAGATTTTAGAACATGGCTGCAGGGATTTGCTCCCATTCAGCCACAAGCAAATTAGTGAGGTTCAATACAGATGTTTGGTGAAAAGACCTGCCTCATGGTTGGCTTTCCCGTTCATCCCAAAGGTGTTGGATGGGGTTGAGGTCAGTAAGGTTCTTCTACTCCAAACTGAGAATTTTTTTTTTTGAGGGCTTGACTTTGTGCATTGTCATGTTGAAACAGTAAAGGCCCTTCTCCAAACAGTTACCAGTTAGAAGCTCACTGATGCCTAAAATACCATTGTATACTTTAGCATTAAAATTTCCCCTCATTGTAATTAAGTGGTAAACTGTGTATGAACAAGCTGTAAAACACCTTTCCTGTACAATTTAACATAATCGAAACAGTATGAAGCTGTAAATTATGATGAAATTGGTCTGATCTATTGAATGGCTTGACAAGTTCATTAAAAAGCTATTCAACATTTTTAGAGTCAAATCTTAATTGCATTCTCTTAGTAGTCAAACAAAGCTGAGAGGACTCCTCCAGACAAGACCTTGACGTTCATGAGAAAATCAGGCACCTTTTTTTGTGGAGATGGCTGTGCATAAGGAAAGGCATTTGCCAAGCTGATTAAAGCAGAAGTACTGAAAACATCACTTGAATGACAATGTGCATCATTATGCCTAATGGCAAAAGTTTGAGCACAAAGTGTCCTGTGTAGCCTTATCATTACCCGCCTAATAAAAGTGAAGCTGACTGCTGCTTCGACTGGCTTATTCGCTCATAATTGTCAACGCAGAGTAAAAGTAGCCCCCAGGAAGCAAAATCAATCACATATCTCTCATCTATCTCAAGTGCCTCAAACAGGATGTTAAAGAGAGAGTGAGGGTTTTTTCGAGAGCTTCCGTTTCTCTCCCAGGCATTCTGACAAACATCCTATTCTCAATCTCTTTCCACTGAGTATCGAGATCTCTGTGAAGACAGAAAAGAAAGGGAAAGCTTCACAGTTGACGTGGTGGTAATACCGTAGATAAACACTGCCTGGATGAGGGTGATGACGCTCCAAATCCGTTTCCTAGCAAGTGGGTGGGAATATCAGCTGCATTGATCAGTGATTAATGTGTGTTTTGGCATGTGGTGGAGAGAACGAGACAGGGCAGTACACTAAGAGAGAGTAAAGGAAGTGTGAGAGGAAGAATGGACATTGAACAGAATGAACTGTATAGATTAATCTTGATTCATCTCTAGCATCGCTGCCATTACTGTGGAAGCTCAGTCGATGTTGTGTGACTGACAGTGATGGTTGGATTCATCACCATTGACAATCAGAGGAAGGTAGCCTAGTGAATGTGAATTTTATTCAGCCTGAAATTCCTCACCAGAAAAATTACAACATTGGTCAAACACTTAAAGTGACCTATGTCTGTTTTTTTTCACTGACAAGTGGCCTCTTTTTGGCATGTGAATAATGACTGTCCTCTCTTAGTAACAAAGGCATGTTGTTGTTATAACATTGTAAATAGTCATGGAGGACGTTGAAGTGGACGATAGGTTGCACAAAACAAAAAACTCTGACACCAGAGAGCATGATTTTTTTTCTGTGTCCTAACAACAGTCAACATTGGTTTCGTTTAACCCTGATGGGGATTTTTCTCAACATCATCAAATAGTTTTCGTCTCAACTGTGTTGAAACACTAGTCAGAAACTGGTTAGAAAAACTAATGTAACACCTGTTTAACATTGATAGTATGGGTGTGAAAGTGCTGTGTTGTAACCTTATTTACTAACATATACTCGGGCTATGACTCAACAAATGTTCAATCCCTGTTTTCGAATTTCATCTCATTTTGCAAACCGGTGAAATACAACATTTCATACAAACATACACATCTGAAGCTGAGAAAGATATAAAATTGTAAAGATGGAATGTTCTTTGCAGCCATGAATCCTACGCAGAGAATCTGCTTTCAGAGGGATTTCATGGAGATGAAGTTAAGATGAAAGATGAAATAAAGATTTCGTGCAGATTTCATGAAGCTCAATAAAGATTTAATGGAGCAGAGACTTGTGGATTCAAGTATACTGTTGGAGCGGCCGATAACAGCAAAGTAGGGCAGAAAAGTTAATTTACGGTGATCTGCAAATGAAAGATGGGTGTCTATAAAAACTGGGCTAAATTTGGTAGAAAAGTTGGACCGTTCTGCAGATGTTTAACTTGTTTTAATGGTATTTCACTGCAAAACATATATAACTTGGTGAAAGCTGTACAAAAGAGATAAAAATGAAATCCTTTACATACACCAAAGGGGTATTGCGACAGCATACAAGTGAAATGCCACCACAGCGTGGCAGCTTGTTTACTTCCACCTACGTTCCTGGATTAGTCTATAGAGAGAACTGTAGGCTGTGATTCGATGCACAGTAGCTTTGGGCAAAACACTGCCACAACCTTGGAACTGCTATGGGGGTATAGATCAAACAGAAAGGGAAGAATGTACAAAAAGAAAAGTACATTAAAAAAGACACTGCTTAATGTAAAAATGTTGACTGTAGTAGGTTTACTCATAGTGTCCCTTGACTAAAACATATTAAAGCCATGTCAAATTGTACAAAGTCATATATATTAGATGTACACAGATAACATGCACCTGGAGAAAATGAAAATGTGTGTTTCAGCAGTCATGCTCACCGTTCCCTTGGCAGGCGGACTTGGGGCTGTCGGTGACATCTTTTACTGAGACTGAATAGCTTGAAGATGACTCTCTGGGCTCGTTTGGAGAGGACCCGCATGCTGTTCTCCAGCTGCTCATATCGCCACTGGAACAGGTTGTCCATCGACCACAAGTGTTGGATTGTTGACACATTCAGGAAATAGTTCTGGGGCAGCCTCGCATAGAACGCCTTAAATTCATCTGTAACAGAAAAGACACATAAAAGGGGTTATTTTAGACTTTTAACCTCAATACAGCGTTGTTGTGTGTATTTCCAAGAGGACTGTTACTATTCACTATCCTCTAAACTGCATGCAACAGGTACTATGAGAAATGTTGGTCACCACACCTATATTTATATAATCTAGTATTTATCAGTATCTATTGATTGATAGCAGAATATACAGCATGAGTTGTGGCATTTTACTTCAGCACATGATGGATAACTGGCAAAATAAGGTACCATGTTAACAGTAAATATATCTACTCTATGTGGGCTTTGATTTTTCAGTCTTGTTTACAACATGTCTAGGCTGCTAACAAGAACACATTTATGTTTATGCTTGGCTCCCATTATAAACGTCCTGCAGTGGCTTTTTCATGGGTCCAGCTCATATAATATATTTACTCTGGTCAATGATGACCACCTGAATCCAAAGACCTCGTAAATACAATGTGATATTTTCTGAATTTATGACTTGACAAGCATCACCTCAACGCTCCATTAAACAATTGGCCAGTGCACATTGGATTGTGGGATACAATAAAATGCAGAGGGTGCGCCAGTTGTGTCCTCCAGGTTGAAGCAAAAAATGGCCCATTTGAAGGAGCCTGAGTTGCATTTAAAGGAGCCTTTGAAATTGGACAGACCTTGTCAGCCTGCTTTATTTGGGCTAGAACTGTGGACTTTGGAGTTGAATTGGGACAAAGCACCTAGAAGGTGATGCTTTGAAAAGTCACCTCAAACATTTTCATCATAGTCAGTAAAGCAAAAAGGAAACCAGGATCCAGAATGACACCTAAGATGGTAAACAACGATGAGGCTCCACTTTCAAGCAGAAAGGTCTTATCACCATGAGACAAAATAAGTATTCTAATTATTTTGAACATTTGTAATGTTTAGAGTATTACTACTGCAACAATCTGTAATACTAGATATTAGATATTTCTTGAGTTTGAGTTTAATTCGAAAAATATGATGACTACTGTCACGTTCATCGTCTTCACTTTATCATTGTCCACTAAATTGCATATAAAGTAAATTAATTATGTTTAGTCTGAGTGCAGTAACTACATTAACTATACTTTATGGACAGTTGCAACATTGAGCTAAAAAAAAGGGGCCTGGCTGAAACAAAATGTATTTGTTTGGATGGGAAAATGTATTTCTGATTCTAGTATGTCCTTTTTGTCATCATTTGGTTCAACTTCAACTATTATATATACTGTCAATGCTTTCTGGCATCTTTCTCTGCTGATAAAGCAGCGAGCAATTCCTCGCTGAAGGACACATTTATGGCACTTGCGGGGGTCTGCATTCTGAGCACGCTCCTGCCCTCACTTCACACCCAGCTATTAAAACATAAACTTTGAAAGTAATTGCACTTAGGGATATTTCAGCCAAATCTGAGGAGTTGAAAAAAAAGACATCTATTTTGATTTCACCTGAGTAATAATCACGAAGGCTGGGTGACCGAGCACCGCAATAATAACCAAACATTATGCTAGGAGCTTCCACTCAAACTCTGTTTCCCCGGTGATATGAAAAGCCGGACTCGCAATAAATGGGTTTTATAGCTGATTAATCTGCTCCAGACATATTGTAAACTACCTGAGCCGAAAGCTGTTGATTTTTTTAATCCGGTCCTGTCGCCTTGTTAATTTGCTTTATGCAGATAGTGTGCACATGAGCCAGGATTCACAACCAGCTATTATGGTTCACCTATAAATCATAGAATAGGGAGGAACATACATATAGGATCGTCACTCAGATTTAATGGTGCAGATAAAACACTTGAATTCATCCCCACTCCCTCTCATATGAATGATTTATATTCTGAAAGCTTGATTTCCTTACATTTAGGATGAGGCATGCAATGTGAAAGGAAGCAAAAATCCAGTGAGAGTGCTCCGTTACCTGATTCCTCAAATTCTTTATAGAGGATCCCCCATGTCTCTGTGATCCTCTCCAGGCTCTCCTCCATGGCTTGGATGTCCATATAAGGGCAGTTGCACTCTGGGAACTTGGGGTCACAGTTGCACCAGCAGTCGTTGTCCTTGCAGCCAAATTCACCCTCTCCATTACAGGCTATGTAGCTTAGAGCAGCCTGCACAAAACTTTCCCTCAAGTAGTCTGGAAGGATCACCTGCAAGCCTGTAAAACGAAGCTGGGTTTACTATCGTAATCAAACTGTGAACGTGGGGAGTGACAGTCAAAGGGCAGTGACAATATTATGCTGGCTGAGCTTATGACTTACTTAATACAATCTATGAATCTGTATATCTGTATGCCAAATTTATCCCTTCTGCATATACCTTTTAGAAGAATATTTGATCTTTAAAAACATAACACAACAATCATAATAAATACATGGGACAAATCAGACAAACCTTGCAGCTGGACTTTGTTTTCAGGGCTCTGAACCAGCACGGAGCTAACAGAGTCAAGGTTGTCATAGTTACTGCATCCAAGAGGACCTGTGCGGGTCTCTGTCACCTGGGCAACAACAAATCAAAAGCTCATTTATTCTCCACAGCATCCATTTTACAACTAGTGCATGGTTAAGTTAAATTTATTTAAGCAAAAGTACAATTTAAAGTGTGCTTCTAAATTTCAGATACAAATGAGTTTGAGGGGAGCCAAATAAAGAAAATGTGCCTTGTGTAACATAAATGCCTTTCCCTGTTTAAATAAAGTAGTTCATAATCGATTGTACTTGTGAAAGAAACAGAAAACTGGGGTAAGTTCATTTAGATTCTCCTAAATTGCTGAAAGAGTTTTTTGCTGCACTCATTTTTTCTGCAAGAATGCTAAAACGTTTCTTTTTTTGTCCAGTCACTGATTGAAGACGTTTCGATTGACCTTTGCCACAAAGCAGCTCCAGCAAAGCATCCTTTTTCACTTCATTTGCAAGAACAGATCTTATTTCAGCACTCTCCTTTTTCTTGCTGTGACACAGCAGGGAGCATCTAACTGATTCTCATTTTTCTCTCTTTGTGGTTCTGGGACACCATATTTTGTTCAGCGATTTGTCCTGGTCAGGCTTGTCAGAGGACAGTTGGTGGAAAGTGACAGATGGATGAGGCGAGACAATGAGGGTCAGTCGATCAGTAACACAATCATAGAGGGCTGAGGGGGTTGGGAACTCATATGAGGCCAATGCTGCAGGGAAGTGAAATCTCTGTGTGGGGTTCTTTAATAAAAAGACTAATCCAGAAGAAAGGGGTTTGTGAGCGGAAGAATAAATATCCTCTGGGAATGGGAAAAGGAAAATGAAGATAATTTTAGCACAATTCTTCGACTATAATATTTATATCACATTATAAATCCCTTGTTTCCCTCGTGAGGGATTCTAATCCTGATATGAATGTGAGGAAATGAGATACAACCATGGGTTTCAGACCACATGAATATTGAATCCATATAAGGAATTATTTGATATGCCATATGATATGCCATATGGCAAAACACTGACTGATGAGCAGAGCATTCAATTTCCGCTTTGCATAGCAGCTGCTATTCACTGTAGATGCATTCTGGTATATTGAAAATACTTAATAGGACATTATTGGCCACCTGTATCTTGGCACAAGGCTGTATGAGGGAATGAAGCAATGGCTGGCACTTTGTGTAAGAATTGTGTCTTTTTTTCATGATGTGAACTCTTTAGTCCAGGAGCTACAGTACAAGTACTTCACTGACTCATTCAAACAACAGAGTGAGAGAAACGCATTGGAAGAGGAAAGCTTTGATCATTGCCACATACAGCAGATGAGTATTTCTAAAGGCTAAAATCTTATGATTTACAAAAACATAAATAGAAAATGTTTACAATTTATATTCCTGGTCTAAATAGTCCCAGGTAAATAGTCTTCCAGAGAAGTTGACATATGCTCCATCACTTTTAAATGAAAGCATAACCTATAAACCTATACGAACAAAAACAAAAAAAAGCTGCATTGAATAATTTGGGCCACCAAAGAGCAGCATGCCCACTGCCTGATATACTGGTAAAATTGTTATATGTAACACCTTAGCAAGCAAAAATTTTTTTTTTATTTATTTACTGCACTGACAATGCTAGGTGATCCTCTGATAGAGCCCCAATCTCAGTAATTGTTTGTATATTTTCCATATATATGGTTGTACATATTTTCCAGCAGCAAATACTAGGTTAATAAAAAACTTTGTAGATTCCATTTCTGCAGCTGGAAACAGGTTTAATGAGCATGATGAGACTGAATTAAACTGAAAAGCTGTGGGCTGCAAAACCAAAACAATGAGTTACTGTAAATGAGGCTAAAAAGCTGCTGAGTTGGTCATAATCTCTTGACATAGTCAGTTGATTCAATGTTTAATGCCCCTTGAAGTCTTAAATTGTACAAGCCACTATCCATATGTTGTTCTGTCTGAAATGATTTGCAGTGGCAGTTTTATACTACTTCTTTATGTTTCTATTTAGTGTCATTTTGCCCGAAACATGCTTTAAAACTGAAGTTTGGCTTCGGTGGCATCATGGATGATCAAGTTAGCAGTCTGTCTACTCTGTGCTAGTCCAAACAACAATCGATCGAGTCAGGAACACAAAAATGTATTTCTCTACCATAATGAGAACACAATACAATCGAAAGGCTGCCCACGAGATGAAAATATGAAACCAGAGACTCCTGCCGTTTCCTCGTTCAATTCTGTCTCCTTGTTGATCACTATGTGCAGACGGACTGGCAAATATGGCCTGGGTCAGTTGGGGATATTGCCATCAATTCAGTCTGGGAAATTCTCAAATCGCAACAAAAATGATCCCTGATGCTTTTGAACAACTGGAGTCATTACTCATTGTTCAAACGAGCCGATCCAATCACAGACTTTGCTCTGCATCGTGACTTCTTAAAGAGAGCACAGATTTCCACAGTCGACCCCCAGTACGCCACAACAGTAACAGGCTTTTCCTCCAAAATGAGCTTCAATTTACCCTTTGCATGGAGACAGCAGGGGGGCCTTTGCCCCGCCAGCCCACTTCATTCATTCCCCAACTTGTTCGATTTCAGATTCATGCAGAGGAGTGCGCAGTTGTATCTGTTCCGCTGCTGTGTGGGTCATCACCCTGCGGAAATGATGCACAAGTGTGGAGGAATCTGTCGCTCCTTTGACTCACTTTCTACCAGTGATGGAGGTGAATCCCTCCTGTTTCCACTTCCTACCTGTCAGTTACGCGAGATGACTGCCTTTGGAGCACGAAAGCACGCACTTCTTCACTTCCTCTGTGTAGCTACAGAAAACCCTAATTCCCAAGAAATGAAACGCACAAAAGCACCTGCCTCTGCACCTCTGATGTGCCCACCTTAGCAGCAAAAGAAATACCCAACCCTCCCTGAACACAATGTAGTGAGAGGACAGAGCTTTGATATAAGTACAGGGAGTCTGATTCATGTTCTGCTACAGCAGAGAAAGCCACACTTCACAAGCAGACTACCACTGTGTTCAGAGGAAAGAAAAAGCCAGAAAGGAGGGTCATCTTCCTCTCCGTAGCCCTATTAACCCCATGCTACCTGAAGGTGACAACCGGAGGCAGAAACCTGTCACGAGCTGTGTTTCACAAGATTCATTTATCTTCCCCTCACCATATGTTCACATCACAGAGCTTCCTCCAGACTCGATGTGCTTGCAGCGGCTGAAGATCATATCTCATCACAAGCAGGCTGATAAAAAGCATCATCTCCCACTTTATTTTCACTGCTGATCATTGTATTATAACAAGGAAACTCTATCTCTTAAAGTCATACATGTGGTTTTGGCTGTAGAGTTTTATACTCTGCAAATGACACCTGGAAGCAACAGACAAATGTATACTTTGAAATACTACTACTACTACTGCTACTGCTACTACTACTACTACTACTAATACTAATACTAATACTAATAATAATAATAATAATAATAATACTAATAATAATAATAATACACTTTTTTTCACAACTGACAAAATAACCTTATTATAGTACAGCATTCTTTAACTATGTTTATCTTAATGATGTAAAATCTTTGGCTTTCCTTCTTGTGATATAAAAGTATATTTAGAACTTTTACATTCAATGTCTTTATTATCTCTTGATAGCTCATCTTCTGGGAATTCATTGCAGTTTTGTTGTCAGAGACCAACATAATAATAGTTTCTTGAATCTTTCAATATTCTCATCATGTCCAAATAATTCCTGCTGGACTAAATGTGGTGAATTTACTGTACAGTCATGGCATCATGCATTTGAATGTTTCTCACTGAAAATAGGATATAGTTAGGACAGAATATTATATCATATCATTTGCAGTTATGGTAATTAGGCTTTGTTTTCATACATAGAAGGGTTTCATAAGAAGCTTCTCTGGGCAGCTTCCCATGTTAAAGCAGCTCCAGATGGCAGTAAGAGGTAAATCTTAAATCCTAAAACCCTGAAATCATGTACCGTGATTTTGTGCAAGCTCATGTTTACAATCAAAGCCAGTCTCACGCTTCATAACAAAAGATACAAAAAACAGACAGGACATGTCTTATATTTGTGATTCCAGGCTTGTTAAAATAGAGCATTTGCTCTCTGCTGGTGAAGAAAATACTTTTGTTTCGGTTGGTGAAGAATGTTTTTTTTTTTTTTTTTTACATTGATCATCTATTTAATCAATTATACTACTTTATAGCTACTTTTCTTATTTAAATTCTGTGCATTGTGACCAGACCGCTATTTTGAAATTGAGTTGGTTATATGTATCCAGTGGTTATAAAGGATGTTTTAATTAACCAGATTTGCAGAAGACTTAGTTTTGGTGCAAAAAAAACAACATAATTTTGTTCTGTACAAATGTGAGAGAAGATACTGAAGGAACAGATGCAACAGTAAGTTGCCAAAGACATCTACCAGTAATCCCCCAAGACTACCTACCAGCCTTCTAGCTTTTCACCATTTGGAGAACTCAGCTTATTGTTATATATAATGATACTGACTTGATTTTGGGCAGAAGGAAGAATAAAGAAGCTTATTTTACAATCAGTGCACTAGTTTGAGAATCTGCCCCAAGAACTCAAGAATAGAGATATGAAGGCGTTACCTTGATGGCAGTGGAGGCGATCTGGATGTGGTGCAGCTTGCGCAGAGTGCTCTCCCTGTCGATGAAGTAGGAGGCAGCCAGCTGGTGCAGAGCTTCCAGAGTCACAGTGGAGGAGTTACCCGAGTAATCGCTCACCTCTGCTTTCTTACTCAGTTTCCTTTTGTCCACAAATATCGTTAAGGCCTCTTCTCCTGCACAGAAACATATGATTTATTTGTTTTATTTTGCTTTTTGAAAAGGTTGTGGACATTATCTCTTACTATTAAGGACTCCCAAGTATAATCTCACCTTCTTGAAGGCTGAGTTACACTTCTCTGACATAAAATCTAAGTTTTTAAGTGATTTTTGATGAAGTCTCTATCTTTGGTGCTAAGCACTCATGCTGAGGTGTTTATGCATTGCACTTCCCACAAATACCTTGTCAATCAAAAACCGTGCCAAACAGTGTCAAATCTTTTTACTGGGATTTTTTGCTAATGAAGTCTGCATTTGGCGCTGTTTTCATGGCAGAGCATGTCCCATGAGTTGTTTTGAACTATTACAGTTAATCTACAATTTAACACTATGTCATAGCTGCAAAACCCACCACCTGCTCTGCTCCAGAAGAAACACATGAACTAAATTCCAGGTGGTTAAGAGCAGGAGACTCATGCACGAGCCTCTGAAGCACAAAGACACTTTACCACAATTAGGATTAGCCACTGATCATAGCAATCAGCACTTCATAAGTGTAGGGGCCATAGTGCAGCACACTTTCTTTGCCTGAGAGTGCCCAAGACACTGCACATCATATTTCTCATCATAATGCAGTGTTAATGCTTTAGGGCCATTTTTCTGCCCAGTGCCTTTCTTCCTCAGCTGCTGAAGGGCATCCTCTTAATATCACAATCTATTTATTAATTTCATTAAGTCCATATGTTTCTGAACACAGAGGCAATCCATTCAGAACCACAGAGGCATATCTCTGGCAACATTCCAAGGCAGACTCCTCATTCTCCTCTCTTCATACCACTAAGTGCTGGCTGAAAGCCAGAGTAAGGCTGCATCAGCTCAGGCAGCTGGTGGGGTTGCATTACATGCAGCCACTCACAACAGCGACCTTTTCGAAGCTAGGAGTCAGGTCTAAAGTAATTGACAAGTGTTGCTCTGTAAAAGCAAATCTGCTTTGCAAGACTTGCCTGGGTCTCTCTAGCATCTTAAATTAGTTTATTTTTTTCTCTTGTTTTTTCTTCACTCAGAAGACCATTAATGCTTGTCCATTCATCACTGCAGGAAGACAAAAATGTGGTGAATGTGACTAGGAGTGGCGGGTTCACAGTACACAAGCTTTTACATGTATTCATACATCTCCGAAGAGTGATTCTGTGCTGCCAGTGGCATATTATTTTGCTGTGATGTATTATTCAGTTACTTACTGTAACTGAATTATTCTGCCATGTATGTTTTCCATATGCAACACCTAGGTGAGTATTTTTCTCTCAATGTAGCTCTTTTTTTCTGAGTCATCAGCCATCTAACTGGTAACAGATGATATAATCTGCCAGAAATAGTAACCATTTTATTCAGGAAAACTGATGCTCGCTTGCTAAAAAGTAGATGACAGCTTTTGTCTACATCAGTCTGAAATCAAGACTCCATTGTTCCAAATATTGCTATGATTTCTGAATGTGCCTCCTTTGTTATTGGAAATTTCATAATTTTTAGACAAGGCTTGAAATGAAAAACTAAGGCGTGCACAGCTTAGTGAACAAGCAAAATACTAGCTGGTGGAGTCAGTTTGCAATTTTTTTCCAAGGGCAAAATTAGTTCATAAGGGTTCATTCATGCCGCCATAAAGATATGCAAACAATGTGACCAACCTATGTACTGTAAAAAAACTTTGTTCTTTTTTACCTCCCAGTGTAGCTGACAACAGGAAGTGTGTCCCATACTTCCTGATCAGATTGTCAGTGATCATCTGGGTGGTGGGCCTACGGCCCAGGAGTCGAATGTTCCTGATGAACTCAGGAGTTAGAGGTAACGGAGACTCCAAGAAATCTCTCCTTTCCACTGCCAAGTTGTTCACCTTCCATCTCCCAAACTCCCTGGAAGAAACACACACTGTATTAATAGGGGAGTTTGAGTAAGAGTGTGGTACAGGATAACTGAAAATATATGTAAATGAATGTGGCTATGGTAATATAGCACCATTATATAGGTACATAATTAGTCTAAAGCTGAATACGTTAGTGGAAGAAATGACTAGAACAGAGTGAAAGAGAAAGAGAGCGAGAGAGACTAGCACATTTAATTCATTATGTCCTTCTGTGCTTTTGCAAGGTAAGGAATCCCTCGACCTTGTCGACACAGCCTGAACTAAAATGAGTGTGAATTGACGGAGAAAGAGAGAATAAGAAACATTGAGAAAGCTAGTGAAAAGAAGAAAAAAACATCCAGACAAAAACATGGTCTTATTTGAAACCAATGATTGTCACCTGGGACGGATACATGCTCCTACTACACAGCTGACAGATGTTTCCCTTAATATTCCATCATGACAGAGATATACATCGAAATGAATAAAGTACAAGGAGGTACGAGAAATAGCCCCATTGCTCAAACAGAGAATTCAGAGAGAAACAAAGTGGCAGCAGAAATGTCATAAAAATGGTGTTTAGCAGTGTGAACAAAAGACTGTTTCCCTCTGACAACTATGTCTGACCTCAACCATGAGTGCAACTTGTATGCTGTGTTCCTATGAATCCCTAATGCTTCACTGATTAGAATATACCTTCCCATGTTCATATTTGGTGGCATCTGACAGCTTTAAGATGATAACAGGATGCACAATACACAATGATGCTCCAGGCAGCATGAAGGAGGCAGAATTTTAATAAAACTTACACTGCTATAAGGCAGGACTTTCTTCCTTCCTATCTCCCTCTCACAGCTTTTAAGCTTTTGTGACTTTTTACTTTCATGTAAAACCTAACACATGCTCTATGAGAAGGGAAAAAAAATAGATATGTCAAAGGCAGCATGGTAAGCTGAACTGGAGCAAATCTCAAGGAAACAAAGGATACAGATGTTCAGTCAACAGAGACCAACCTGGCACTCTGTATGCATTATTTCTAGTATTTTTGTACAACATTTAGCCAAGGCACAGCTCTTTGAACTAAAATTACATTTGGCAGTGCTTTGACTCCATACAAAGTTATTCTACCCAACAGTTAAAGGTGTTTAGTGGAAGATTTCCATGCAAAGTGTCCTTCACAGATACTTTTGTGCTCTCCTCGACCTGTTTCGCACTCAGCTTAACATAGAGAGCATGCTATGAATTCAAATTAGAAGTACGCGTGTTTTGTTTTTCTGACATTTGGCAAAACAGTAAAAAGTAAAACATTAAACAGTAAAAATTTAGGCTGAGAATATTGTGTTTTGAGAAGAGAGGTGTGCATGGCATCCTTTATCTGAATAGCTCTGCAAAGTCAAATAAGTCATCTGAGAGTGGTAAGCTTACTCTTTTAGAATCTCAATGTAGTACATTTTAGTTTGTTGAAACAATGAAACCCCTACCTTATTTGTTTGATTCAGAACAAGACTGATCACAGACATTCAAATAGTCAACCATTATTTCTGTCTTTCTGGTCACATTTATGGCAGCTGGAACTGGAATACAAAGTGCATCAGCAGCATCTCAGTATAGGCATGAGTAAGTTTGATAGCAGAAAGTAACTAATTTTATCAGATCTGACACACTAATGACTGTAAAACTTTGCAGAAGCCTCATGAGTTTTAAGTTAATCTCCGACAGAGCAAAAGCAAAGATTAAAGTAACTATTAATATGAAAATGTGGTGGCAATTTGTTTAATAAAGCATACAAAGTATGATCTTGTCTTTCTGTAAGGTTTTATTCAAGTCAACATGAATGGTCTCAACGAAACCGGCACACACTCTCGTATGTGAAAGTCCGAAAGAGCCCCGACTGGAAGAAGCAGTATGGTTTTATCCCTGTTGGAGCACACAGTTACACATTCCTGAGTTCTGGGACAGTAAACAGACAGATAGTGTGCTGAGATGATCATGTCCTTGGCTTCTTTGTGAAGTCTCAGCATCCCGCTGTTTACTTGGACATAGAGTGTAGTTAGAAACAGGGCTAAAGGTTATATGTATATAATAACCTCTTTAACAGTTGCATATTGTTTTGCAATGACCAGGTCAAAGGGTTGTATAGGTTCTTAAAAATTGCCATTCCAAAAATAAATCAGCAACTTTTTTCTGGGAGACTGAGCTGTGATCTCTGACATAAAATGTTAAGAGTTGAGATACTACACATTTCCTAGACTCTTCTAGCAGCTCTATTCAAAGCTAACATGGTCAGGTCACAATGACAATAATAAACCATGCCTTGATTGTTTTAAAGTTACCATCTTAGTTTAGTTTAGTTATGCTATAACACTAACATTTGTTTCATGTCAATCCATCCAATAGCTGTTGAGATACAGTCATTCCCATTCCTAGAGCTATAATGGCCGAAAATGCTATATTATGAAGAAGAAAATGGTACAGGCTGATTGGAATTGGAATTGGAAACTATGGTAACTGCTAAACAAAACATCTGAAGTGACATAGTCATCCTTGTAAATGCACTTACCTTTGATTGTGTGTGTGTGTGTTTAAAAGCTTATAACCCATAGACACATACTGGGATACCTGTTAGAAAGAGGTATTTAAACACACACACAAACACACACACACACACACACACACACACACACACACACACACACACACACACACACACACACTTGACCGTAGCTGCCTGCACATACAGTATATCCAGTAAGCAACCTGCAATGCTCAATATCTCCCAAAGAGAAATTCAACTAATTTCGATGAAAGTGCTTTCACCTGCCCCGAGCAGGGCAGGCTACAAGTTGTACTCTGACCACTGCTAACCTGCTGTCATAACAAATTGGATAAGAGAACCAACGGCCAAACTCCATATGACTAAGGCAGCAGAAGATCAAAAATGCAAGGTCAAAACAGCTTGCTTTACAGAAAATATCTTCTTAGAAGTGAGGATTCAGTTCAGGAATTCCAAATCGGTACCTCTTCTTTGGCTTAAAGGCCCTAAAATATAACGCTGTGATATGGAAGGTGATGTCATGTATTTACACCTACCAATTAGATTTTATTTTTTATTTTTTTTAAGTATTTTTTGGGGCTTTTATTGCCTTTTACTTGATATTGACAGCTGAAGATAGACAGGAAAGGGGGGCAGAGAGAGGGGATGACACACAGCAAAGGGCCGCAGGTCAGATTTGGACCCTGGGCCGCTGCAGCAAGGACTCAGCCTCAGTACATGGGGCGCCAGCTCTACCAGCTGAGCTAACCGGGCACCCCCAATTAGATTTTAACAATATTAGAATTTGATGTGTGGTGAGAATTTTCTGTCAACAGTACTCTTTAATTTTAAACGTTTAAGCCAACATGGATGAGAATTCCTAAATGTGTTCAGAAAAAATGTAAATTTGAACATCTACAATTCAGTGACAACTGGGAAAACTCATCTGCTAAAGACTGAGTGATACAATCTGAAGCTTCACAATAGCAATTAAACGGACCTTGTATCGAGATTGTTTTGTCGACCACTGTTTCCAAGGTTACTTTGAATCTCATTTGTGACAATGAGAACTACGCAGTAATTGCTGAAGTCCCCTCTTTACAGTGTTAATAATATGTATAATGTGTTAAGTTATAATTAAACTTTGGTTGCTGCTTATTGCACAACTATTTATTGTTAAAAATCATTTTAAAGCTAATTCAGCCGTTTTAGGAATTATTTTCATTTTTTCTCAGATAAGTAATAGTAACAGAAAACAAAATACATTTCTTGTAGATCCAATTTGTAAGCATCTGAATTCAGGGTTATTTTTGGTTCCTTAGTACACCTACTGTTAGAGACATTAAATGAAAAGCACATAGTGTAGGCCCAGACACAATGAATCAAAATGTAGCTGACAGGTTTGTATAATATGAAAATTCTTCTGCATTTTGATTCACTTCTTCTTTTCAGAAGTCAGTGTGACCACAGAAGAAAAAGGCCGTGACCTCCAAGGAATGCAGAAGAGATGCCATTAAAAGAGATTACATTTTTGCTCACATTCAGTATTCCATCTGTGTCTCGTCTTTTATCTTTTATAAATTTGGATTTGGATTTCAGAAAAGAATGCGTGCTTGTTGAAATCAACCTGTTTTAAGCCATTGAAATGGCTAAATAACCAGTATATACAATATTATGCATAGTTTGTAGACTTCAACAGTCAGAGAAAGTAAGAATAACTCAAATAATGGCAGTTTATTTATGTGTGGGTCGGTATTCATTTAAAAAGAAAATAATGTAGAAGGAAAATTAGAGATACACATAAGAAAACCCACCTACAGAGAAATAACCTATTTCAGCGTCTGTAACTGGGGCTAATTAAATATGTACTTGCAAAATCAAGACACTGTTTGAAGACCACAACTATCTTTGATGTTTAAAAAAAGTACAGCTCTGATATCATGCCAGTGGCGAGATTGTATTATTTTTGCGAGCACTTTCCCTCCGCCACAGATCTGCATGGCAATGAATGTATAAAGAGACAGTTATGAAGTCACAGACAGATATCACAGCTGTAATTATAACAGATCGGTTGTGATTACTTTGAAATTTCTTGGGGAGGCTACAGGAGTGCGGTGCCAATTTTTTGCAATCCGCCTGGCACTGCCCCCAATTTACTCACATAATCACGCTTATGTGAGAAGAAAGGAACGGGAGAAAAGTTCCTCAAAGAATAGAGGGCCTAGATCCTGATGTTTTTTTTTATTTAGAGAAGGAATGGAAATAACGCTTTGAACATCAAAACCATGAAGGAGCAATGTAGAAATAAACATGATTAATTGTCTTGACTGAGGGATTATTTTTGTCAGATTTCACTATGAGGCAGAAAATAAACACACAGTGAATTTATGTGAACGGCATTGTCCGATCAGTCAAATGTTGCACTTTTCTCTCACCAAAATAAAAGCTTGACTGCTGTAATCAGAAAGGGTTGAACA